GGAGGAGGAGAGGAGAAGGAAGAGGAGAAAGAGCTTGAGAGAAAGATGGAGAAAAAGGAGGAGGAAGGGGGGAAAGGGAGAAGAAGGAAGGGGAGGAGGAGGAGATGGGAGAGAAAAAGATGGAGAAAAAGGAGGAGCAGATGGGAAAGGAGAAGGGGAAGGGAAAGGGAAAAGTTGGCTTTCGACGGCAGGGCCATCGGTTGAGAGAAACATGAAGAGGATATCAGGAACTTTTATGCCAATCAGTTCACATCCTTCCTGCGTTTTACTCAGCATTAAGCAATTCAGTAGGGAGTGAAAGTTAAGAGCGCTCACTTTCACTCCCAGGGCCAAGCAACAGTAAAAGCAACGTTGCCAATTTGTCAGACAAAACTCCCAGCTTTTGAGAGACCGGGGGGAGGAGGGGGCGGGGGGAGAGGAATCAGGGCCTTTCCTCCTTACCTGTTTGCAAGGGGCTTGAAGAAGCCGAAGTGGGAGAGCCGGGAATCGGTACTTCGAAGGCGCACAAAGAAGCTGTCGTTGAATGCCGGACTTTTTGGCTGTCTTGTGGGAAGTTCTTTGGAAAACAGGGAGGAGGCGGAGGGAGAAAGAACAGCAGCGGCAACAAACAAAAAAAAAACACACAAAGATTAAAGCCGGGAGCGATTAATAATTAAGGTGACACTTCAGAGAGCCGTAGAGGAAGCTGAGGGATTCGGCGCTCCGACCGACAGCAAAAGAGAACGTTTTTCCGTCGGCATCTGAAGCCCAGGGGAGAAAGGAAAGCTGTTTTCAAAAACAGCAGAAGCAGCTGACGGGAGAATTGCAAACTTGAATTTAAAGAGAGACGTCTGCCTCGATGTGCCCAGCCTGTCTTTAGATCTGACGGGTTGTATCAAGGAGTGTTATCCTGGGAGCTCATTACACGCTCGCCTGTCGAGAGACAACAGATGTGGCTGTGCCAGATGGGCTCCCCTGTCCTTCTGCAATTCTCCCGTCCGCTGGATCTTCCTGTAAACTGCAGGATAGTGAAATCCTGTGGTTAGAATCCCTATGTTAAGGCACCAAGCTGGAAAGCAGGAGATGGTGAGTTCTAGTTCTGCCTTGGACATCAAAATCCAGCTCTAGGCCAATCCCCAGGAGTCTGTGAGTTCTAGTCCTGCCTTAGACATGAAAGCCAGCTGGGTGACTTGGAATCGATCACTGGGAGACAATGAGTTCTAATCTTGCCCTAGGCATGGATCCAGCTGAATGACTCTGAGCCAATCACCAGGCAACTGGGAGTTCTAGCCCTGCCTTAGGCGTGAAAGCTGGATAGGTAACTTTGGCCCAGTCACTCTCTTTCTCAGACAACAACCCAGCTCACAGGGATGTTGTTGTGGAAAAAAATAGGAGGAGGAAGGCTTCAAGGTTTGTAGGAGACAAATATATTTTCAGTCCCCCCCTCCCTTCATACAGGAGCTGTGTCCCCTTCTGTCTCCTTAGGATTTCACTGAAATATACATTTGACTGAGGAAGGTCAATTTTTACATTCAGCTGCAGATGCATGATCACCTTTATGTTCGAGCTGTGTACTTCCGCAAGCAGGATCTGGTCGGGCTTCAGGGCACAAAGGTCACTCAGGTGCTTCTTCAAGTCAGAGTATTTCTCGTCCATATTCAGCCTGAGTCCGTATCGGACGGGAGTCGTGCCGTCTAGCTTAGTTACTTGAAGAAGAAAAGGAAAAAAAAAAAAAGGAAAGGAAAGGAGGGGCAGAGACAAAGAGAGAAAAGGGCGTGTTTTTAGAAGCTTTTTCACTTTATTTATTTAGTTTTATTGATTGATCGCGTTTTGGAACCGCCCATCTTCTCTCGCAGACCCTGGGTAGCCTACGGTAAAAAAATTAAAAGAGGGACAAAAAAAAAACAGTAAATAAAAATAAATAAATAAAGAATAATAAATGACAGGATAGAAAAGTTAAATTTTAAAAAAGTGGCAAGATGGTTTAAAGGCAATGTTAAAAATCAATTGAGAGGCAAAAAGAGGCCTTTGGGGGTTCCAACCAGCCCATGGCTCTGTGTTTTTCGGCATTCCCCATACAAGGCCACAGAACCATGTTTTCACGCCTTTCTGGAAGGCCGGGGGGAATGGGGTCCTGCCTCCTCGGAGCACTGGGGGAAATATTCCACAGGGAAGAGACAACAGCAATGGAGGCTCTCTCCCTGGGCCCCTCCGTCCGAATTCCTAAACTGACAGGGTCTGCAACATACCTTCCCTGCCTGATCAGGTGAGATGGGCTGATATAAAGAAGTTTCCATAGGGACCTTTTCTATCAATGGTTGGATGATAAAATACAATAATAGAATATTTAGAATGTTAGATAATAAGGAATATTTTTGTTTTTTTCTTTCTTTTGTTATTTGACATCATATCTATAAAGTGTTTTTTAGGATGGATTTGGTATGATTATATGATTTGTTATAGAATAAATTACCTAAATTATAGTTATCTCATAAAGTATGAATGAATAAAATTATAGTCAAATGATTTTTTTAATAATGATATGAGGACATATAAGCTTGGATTGATAATAAGAGTTATTATGTAACATAACCGTAATTGAGACTACGAAATGAATGCACAAAACTGATGAACCTACCGACACACTGTTTGTATATATGTAAGGAAGAGAGCTGATGTTTTTATGTTTCGTTTGTTTTGTTTGTTTTTAAAAAAACCAATAAAATTGTTTTTTTTTTTTAAAAAGTTTCCATAAGTTTTCAGTGTTTAAGTACCTTTCAAAAATATGAGCCAATAGCGCGCGGCGGCAGCCAAAAAAAAGCCAATGCAATCCTAAGTTGCATTAACAGAGATCAAGCGCGATGCTAAGACCACTCTACAAAAGCCTTAGTAAGACCACACCTGCATCCAGTTTTGGTCACCACACTATAAAAAGATATTGAAACTCTAGAAAGAGTGCAGAGAAGAGCAACCCAGGATGATGAGGGGACTGGAGGCAAAAACATATGATGAACAGTTGCAGGAACTGGGCCTGGCTAGTTTAGGGAAGAGAAGGACCAGGGGAGACAGGATAGCGGTCTTCCAATATTTGAGGGGCTGCCAAAGAGAGGAGGGAGGGGTCAGGCTATTTTCCAAAGCACCAGAAGGCTGGATAAGAAGCAACAAATGGAAACTAACCAAAGAGAGAAGCAACCTGGAATTAAGGAGAAACAGCCGAACAGTGAGGACAATTAACCAGTGTGGGTGCTCCATCACTGGAGGATCTTAAGAAGAGACTGGACAGAGACTTGTCTGAAATGGTATAGGTTTTCCTGCTTGAGCAGGGGGTTGGACTAGAAGACCTCCAAGGTCCCTTCCAGCTCTATTCTGGTTGAATTGAATTTGGAACATCCCAGCTGGAAAGAGCTGCTATTTTCCAACTTCCAAAATGGAGCCCATTTCCCTCCCCCCACACCAAACAACTACACCAAGGACAGCGACTCAGGATTCCTCACTCACCTATTATTTCTATGTGCATGTAACTGTCCATTGGAAGAGGCAGCGATAAGAAATTAAAAGGGTCGAAACGGACACTGATGTGTCCACAGGTCTTGCATTTCACCTGGGACCTCAGCTGCCCGTGGAAGAGGTCGACCACAATCGAGCGGTTCCTTCTCAAGTGGTTCTCCCAGGCCTGAAACAAAAGGAAAGGGAGATCAAATCAAATCAAACACAACCTTTGCAGAAAACTGAGCGGCCTGAACAAAAAGGTGCAGCTGAATACTTTAGAACAGGGGTGTCGAACTCAAGGCCTGCGGGCCGGATGCGGCCAGGGGTGGGATTCAAATTTTTAACAACCGGTTCTGTGAGTGGTGGGCGGTGGGCGTGGCTTGGTGGTCATGTGACTGGGTGGACGTGGCTTGGTGGTCATGTTATTGGCTGGGCGTGGCCAACTCAACATCACTCACATCGAGGCACCATCTCCTCGCCTGGCCTCTCATGAGTGTGGGGATGCTGCAACAGTCGTAAGTGTGAAAAACGGTCATAAGTCACTTTTTTCAGTGTTATTGTAACTTTAAATGATCACTCCACACAAGCAAAGTACTAGCAAAGGAGGGAAAAAAACTCCAGAGAAGTTCCTGAGACAGGAAGTCTAGTCCTGCCAAGAATCTAATAAGGGTTAATGGAAAGGCAGTTTCTGTAAGCAAGACCAGAATGTTTCCTTCCTGCCTTTCTTACAGGATTAGGCCAGTAATTTTTTCTAACAATCAGTTCTCCAAACTGCTTAGAATGTTAACAACCGGTTCTAGCGAATAGGTGCAAATCTGTAGAATCCCACCCCTGGATGCGGCCCACTCAGCTGGCCTGGAAATAGCAAAGGACTGGCCTGCGGTGCCTCTGGCAGCCAAAACAGGGCGGGGTGGGCTGCACATGTCCTCCTGCACCCCGTTTTGGCTGGCAAAGTGCTGCAGGAGGCCATCCAGGCTGAAAATGGGGCACACACACACCACCACCCGTTTTGGCAAGCAGAGTGCTGCAGGACGCATCCATCCCTTCCTCCTTCCCCAGTGGTGGTATTCAGCTGGTTCTGCCCAGTCCTGGCAGAGCGGTTGGGAAAATTTTGACTGGTTTGGAGAACTGGTAGGGAAAATTTTGACTGGCCCTGCCCACCTGCCCCTGCTCTTACCTCTCACCTCTCGTATATTCTGCTGTTTATTAGCTCAGCTGATTCGCCTGGCAGAAGGGATTGCCACGCCTCAGCTGAGCTAAAAAAATAGCACAGCTCACCAGGGAAGGGCAGTCTTTGAGTCCTGCACACATGCAGTTTGCACACCTGGCATGCGCGCAATAGGCGCGCCTGCACAGCTCACCAGCTTTGATTCAGAGGGTTTGAGCACTGCCCATGTGTGTGCAAAGTGAGCAATTGGCACATGCGCATGCAAAGCAAGCTCCAAACCGGTAGGAAAAACTTTTGAAACACACCACTGCCCCCCCACTCCCCCGGGGTCGATCTGCGGAAGAGAATTACAACGCTGATCCAGTCCTCGAAGAAATCCAATTTGACACCCCTGCTTTAGAACAGGGGTCTCCAACCTTGACAACTTTAAGACTTGTGGACTTCAACTCCCAGAATTCCCCAGCCAGAACAGCTTTAGAAGACAGCATGAGATTGGGTGCTATCAGATGTTCATCTGTTTGGAAAACCTCTCCTCAGTGAAGAGGGCCAATTGCTCAGGCTTAGGTTGCTTCGGATTGCAGAGGGGTGGCCGTTGTGATGGAAGACCATTTCGTAGAGTATGGAAAATAAAGAGGGATATTGCCACCAGCAGTAGCCTGTCCTTACTTGTAGGAAACCGGCATGTCAGTGACAAAGGGAACATTTCGTGACAGGCTTAATTTTTTTAGGTGCAAAATTTTGGTGTTTTTATTTTTAACTCGGCCACATGATGTTCATACTTGAAGAAGCTTTCTTCCTCTGGGCTATCATTCTCTGTAGGGAATCCTGATGTTTTGGGATGATTGGTGGACCTACTGGTTGACCATGTGAGCTTGAGGCTTTCATTCTTTGAGATAATGAAAGTTACTCTTCTCTTTCTTTTCTTTCTTTCTTTCTTTCTTTCTTTCTTTCTTTCTTTCTTTCTTTCTTTCTTT